GGCGTTCACTACGCTGTCTGCTCCTGTTTGAAGGATGCAGTTAAGTCAGTTTGTGTTCTGTCAGAGCTGGCTATGGCGTGCTGATGTGAACCAAAGTTTGAAATCGCGATTCACGTTCGACGGAATTGTAACCACCTCGAACTTTTTGTAATCTTAGTAAATAATAAATATATGAAATAATGGTAGATATAGAACCAATTTAGTATCTAACTAACTTTAAGAAAATAGAAGCACTTACTCAATTAGTTTACAAATTCCGCTTTCTCAATAACTATTATTTACTTTTTTTTTGTTAGATGAAACGCCAGAAATATTGAACTATCAGCAAGAAATATTAGAAACTCTGTAAGTACCAATCTACTTATTTCACTTGTTCGCGACGGCATCTTTTGTTGGAAGTAACATAATAGTGTTTTGTTTTTATTTTTTTTATTTAATCGAACAAGTGATTATTCCTTTTTATCTTATTCCAAAACCGAGTCAAGGTCTGTTTCACATAAATTTACGGTTTTACGAAGAAAGAAGCAGAAGTTTCGAGATTACCAGTGATTTCCGTAACTGTCCTGTTACTTATTTATTTAGTTTAAACCAAAGCGACAGTGACGCTTTTTGCCAGATAAAGAAATTCCATTTGCCAGCTGCTGCAGCAACGATCTGTCTATCACCAACTCATTCAGATTATTACATCTACAAATATATGTATACTATTTCAAACTGGATAATGGGAAAAATGCCACAATGAACCACTTTTTTGTGAGATACTCACATGATTAGCACAACTAATTAGATAATTAGCATAGTTTTCAAGGTTCCGATGCAATTAGTTTGTTGATAAAGTGCTGCTTGTTAGTCAGCATTTTTGGAGAAAACATCCTGGGATAATTCTAAAAATCGCCATTATTTCTAGTGGTGTTGTGCTAATTTTTTTTTACCGGCACGCGTATATATAATTATATAGACAGGGCCGATCCTGGGTAGGCGGCCGCTTTGTGCGGTCTCATGTCCCAAATTTGACGACGGGGGGGGGGGTTTCCCCCAATTTTCGCCCGTCGCCAGGATCGGCCCTGTATATAGCATAAAAAGGAAAGGAAACGAAAATCATTACGAAACCCATTTTGTGTATATGAATATATATTCTTAGCATTAGCCGCAGGCCCATTTGGGTATGGCGATAAACTATGCCAGGGATGAGTAACGTACGGTCCGTGGGCCGCTTGTATTAAAATTTATGTATGAAATCTTTACTTTTTTAAAATTTTATATTTTTTTCTTCTAATGTTTATTATAAATAAAGTTTAATTCCCGTTGAACCGGTTCAAAAAGCCGGTTCACGTATTTGTTTCGGTTCGGTTCGAGTTCCGGTTCAGCAGAAAAAAAACGTTCCGGACTCCGGTTCACGGTTCGGAAAAACAAGCCGGTTCGTTCCGGTTTTTGTTCCGGTTCGGGTTCGGTTCAAACCCTTGTTTATAATAATACATATAAAAATTCGTCAAAAATTAGAAAAAAAAATCAGCAATTCTTTTTAATTTTTTTTTCAATACGTCAGCCAATTCTCGTTATCAGAAATCATCTTTAGTTCCGGAACGCGTTCCTGTCCAAAAAGGAAGTACCGGAACGACGTTCCGGAGCGTTCCGGCTCGACAACACCACTGATTATTTCTCTCTCTCTCTTTACCTAACCTTATCCCATATCATTCGGGGTCGGCTCTCCTCATCATTCTACGCCATGTGTTATGCTTCTGGGTTTTCATGTCGCTTACTTGGGCTTTCTTCAGATGATTGTTGATAACGAACATCCAAGTCTGAAGTTGTCTCCCTTGTTTTCTGTGTATACTCAGAACTTGCATAGTCACGTGATCATCAAGTCTCTTTATTACGTGTTTATACCACCGAAGACGCACTTTGGAAAATTTTTCTTCGATTGGTCGGATTTTAAAGCTTTGGCTGATATGTTCGTTTCTAGCCCTGTCCAGTAAGGTGACTCTTCCGGACCATCTTGGTATCTTCATCTCCGCCGTGTGTACTCTTTTCATGGACCAGCATTATTATTGCTGGTAGCATTCCTTGTTATATAATAAATTACCGATGAGAAGCAATAGCATTGGTGAGAAAACTGAGATCGGATATGTTACTATCGAGATAACTAGCAACGCTCAGTCTTAATCCTCAGTATTTCTACACATGCTAACCTCAAAACAAAAGAATGCAGCTTTTGGCCAATTTAAGTACACCACGTGTAGTCAAAAGACAAAACAACCAAGAACGACTAGACATCTCCGCTGTATCTTTTATCATTCAATTTGACCTCAAAGTACTCTCAGCACAAAATTTTATGATATTGTGACCTCAACATTTGAATAATGCTTTTTTTTGGTTTCTTAAGTTTTGATAATAAAATATCTCGAAATTTTAAAGTGCTTCACTAGTTTGGAGCCAGATTTAAGCTTATCGTTGAAAAATGCACTTCTTTTATTTTGTTTCAAATCAGCTGTGGTAATGCAGATACTATTTTTTGAAAGCACTCCATTGATGGGATGTAGGAAATTACTTTTCATACAATAACACGATTCTGAAACCGAAATTGGCGTAGCATATTGAAGTTGGGTCAAATCCCAATACCAAAACCAAAAAGTCAAATTAACATCATATAGATTAAGATGTTTCAGAGTTTTAATTAACTGCGGGCAATTACAAGCCTGGTGTTGAATTCTAGTATAAAAGGTACATAAAATGTAACTACATCCATAATTCCTGTATTCTCTTATTCCACTTGGAGTAACTCTCAAGAAAACCTAAGAATATTTTGGATTTGCAGTTACGTTATCTCCAAATCCTAACGTGTTGAGACAATTTTGAGGCAAAATTCGAACTGAGCTTTTATTGCTTTTTCTTTCCGGCCTCAGATTTTGTTGGTCTATGAATTAATATAATAATAAACTAAACTTTCGAATCCAAATTCCGTTCTGTATAGTAAGTAATAAACATTCATAGATGATACAAAATAGAAGGTTCACACTGTATTTTATTCGTAGCATTATGTACCATACATTAATTTTATTTCTAATTTTAATTTCGAAATATTACTTTTTAGTAACGCCATGTGTTATGTACGGACCTGTACGAACAATCCAATTCAAAATTCTAGTAAGAACGAAACAATCATTATCAAAGTATTCAGATCGTACAATAAAGAGTATGAGTGCAAGTACTAATCAGACCATATCGCGAGTTCATCACAGTTACATCTGGAAATCGCTAATTATTATTAGTTAATTACCTACAAAAGAAAGTATAAGAATTTCTTTCATTTTCTAAAACCAAATCTACGCTTAACCTAAATACGCCTTTGTGAAGTTCTTATCAACCATTTGAAATACATATGTATTTAAGATCAAAAATACTGTTCCTTCATTAGGATATCCCAAAACTTATCATCATCATCATCATCATCATAAGGTCGTCAGTCCTAAGACTGGTTAGACATGTACCTCCACTCTTTCCTATCCTGAGCTAAACTTCGCATTTTCCTAAAACTAGGACAACCCACATCCTTAACTATTTGCGAACAGTAATCTAACCTAGGTCTACCTCTACCCCTACTAATTCCTGTTTCTGCCTCTAATATGTCTCTGACCAGACCTTCATGCCTGAGAAGGTGTCCTACCAACCTATCTCGCCTATTTTTTATTGACTTCCATAGAGTCCTCTGCTCTCCTATTCTTTCAAATACGTCTTCATTTCTAACCTTCTCTATCCACGGTATCCTCATCATTCGCCTATAGCACCACATTTCGAACGCTTCTAACATTTTCTTTTCCGCCGCGCCCACTGTCCACGTTTCGCACCCGTGCAACGCCGTGCTCCAAACATACACCTTTAACAACCTTTTCCGAATTTCCAAATTAACCGTTCGCGAGCATAGAAATGACTTCTTTTTATTAAAGGCGACACGACCCTGCGCTATCCTCTGCTTTATATCCCTACTACTCTTTCCATTCTGACTTATCTGACTTCCTAGATATCTAAACTCAGCCACTTCTTCTAATTTTTCGTGTCCTATCTTTATATTCGCTCTTTCCCTACTTTTTCTTCCCTTGCATACCAATACTTTAGTTTTACTTTTATTTATTTTCATACAGTACTGATCTGTCAATACCGCTTCCATTTCATTTAATGCTATCTCTAGGTCCTCCTAGTTAGATGCTAATACTGCTATATCACCAAAACTTATAAATATAAATAATTTTGTAAATTTCACTGCAAAACTGCAATGATACCTCTATAGTTTTCATTTAGATTCAAACGTAAACAAAACACAAGATTTAATTTTAGTCCCCATTTAGATATGTTCGAAAATTCCTTTTGATATGGTATATTGAAGGAGTTCTGTATGTATACGAAACACTTTCACATTTTTAGAAGTGATTAGTTTTAATATGAAATATTAATATGAAAATTCATTTGTCGAATTTTTTGCCCATTGCAAACTACCTGAGGTTAATACGGGAAAATTGTTGCCGGGAAATCGTACCCGGGACCTTTAGTTGAAGTACTGGTGCGTAAAGCTAAAGATCCCGGGTTCGATTCCCGGCGAGGGTGTGACAACAGCAACAATTTTTTCTCATTAACCTGACGTAGTTTGTAGAGGGTAAAAAACTCGACAAATTAATTTTCATATCTGTATGTATACGTTTTTAAAATTGTCTAGGTGAACGTATTTGATGCGGTACGCGATCATCGGTGTGCTAGTCAAAAAACTATAGATTGTACACAGATAGTAAACCAATTTACCATTATTATTATTATTGATTATTATGATACGACGCACAATGTATTTTGATTGTCATAAAATTATAAGTGAGGAGTAAGATGCATTTTTGCACATCTTTTAATAAAAATTTCCGCGTTCTTGTGATGAGAAGCAGCATCACCTTGCATTAACTTATTGTATTGTCCCCGATACTTCTCCTTAAAGCTTTCACCGTTCGGAGAACGCTTAGAGCAAGTTTTCAGTCTTCAGACAGTTCCGTACAAACTTTCGTTAAAGTAAGCTGTGGCTACAAAGCATTCTAGACACGACAAATACCACACGCAGCGGCAAATTCAAACGGACGAGCATCGCGATCAATGTGATGTGAATATATTTTTTCGTTAACAAAGCGAAAATGTCTCAGAAGGACTTGTCTTTGGAAAAGCCCCAAGAGGACTACCCGAAAAGCGATAAGAGCAAAAACAATTCGACAATTTCCACGAAAAATTCGCAGGAGCAACTGATATGCAAAACACCACAAAATACACCCCCGGGGACATTGAAGGCAGTTCACAATAAAAGTGAAAAAAGTGTAACGGAGAATAATCGAAAAGAAATTGAAACTTTTAATTCCACCCTGTTCTTAGGGGTGCTGCAAGTGCTTTTTGGATTGCTTATGGTCGCTTGTGGAGTGCTAGTTGTGGTATACAAGTCCCATTTGGGATATGTAAGTATCAGAAATACATTATATTGGTTGAGCCAAAATAAAATTGGATATATAGATACCATTGTCTATGGTACATTTTCTAAACGTGAAACTGTACCAATCAGAATGAATACCAAATACATTTAAACATACTCATTTTTTGCAAATGATTAATTTAATTTCTCCTCGAACACGTCAAAATTAGCGATTTTTAATTGAAAATCCTGATTAAGTGATAACGAAAGTAGGTCTAAACACCTTCCACCTTTTAAATAAACCTTTTAACACGGTCAACTAATACTAAAATACTGTATTATTAGAGGAGATAGATACCTCCGATTTGATTAAAAAACAAAAACGATTTTTTCCGTTTTCATTCGTTAATAATTGCTTAACAATTTACTTGGAGTTTCTCATTCACGATTCCTGATTAATATACGCTGTAATTATAATATCCTAATAGTTATTTATAATTACGACAATACAATACACTACTACTGAAATAATTGCAAGTTCGCTTTTGTAGTGCTTTCAGTGACTTTCAGAAGTTGACACTAAAAAAAGGATATTATCCCATACCATATTTTTACAAGTAGCAATTTGTACCATTCACTGTACAGACTTTTATATATTTATCGATAGAAAACATCGACAGTCTGAACCAAAAACAAGTTTAATAAGTGACTGTGATTGATGAATGTCAAGTTCTGTAACAATTTCTTTATGGAAATATACATTTGCAACATGTGTTGATATTAGTTATGTCGATAATATTTACATATTTTTTAATATTAATCATAAATAACACAAAAAATGTCAAAAATATCTTCGAAAATTACAAAAAGAAAGTTGTTTTTTAAATTAATTTTTATGATGTTCTAAGTATTTCAAACGCAACTTACAAATGGTCTATCTAATTAAAGAAATAACGACAAATATATATAAATAATAATAACAGTTACAAATTAATAACATAACAAACACTAATTTGTTTCTTATGAGTTTTATTTTTGTAGTAAATCAACTGTCTAATTTCTCGCGGTTTTTATTGGTTCATTTAAAAACCTTAAGAATCTGGTTATGTCAAAGGATAATAGCTAATTCGCAAATTAACGAAGAAATGCAACTTGTATTTAGCTTTCTATTCAGACATTACAGGTGCATAGTTTTTCTAAAAGTAAAGTAACTTTTACTTGACACCTGTTTTACTAATTAAAACACAAAAAAATTATAATCTGTAAGTCACATTAATAAAAAAAAATTAAAATATTTTTTTCAAATGTTCACACATTACTTTGGGGTTTTAGTGTTACAATAGGTACCAGAACTAGGTAACATCCAGATATCTGAATGGTATATTCCAATAGGTAGTATTTAAAATTTTGTTTGACGAAATACTAGGCTAATGTCATGCTGATACTATATCATTTGTGGTTGATTTATCCCTGACTGATGATACTTTTACCCATTTTATCGCGAGTACAGGCTCCACCTGACCAGCAAAAAACGTTGGAGGAGTCACCAAGCTGTTACTATACATAGCGTACCTACAAGATTGGCAAAGATTATAATTTGTCTCTAATTTTTCACCATTCTTCTACAATATTTCTATTTCGAAATACATGTGTAGTGCCTGCTTGACGGTTCTCCAATCGTTTTTCACTTTAGCTTGGGGCTGTGACATCGTGAGAAAATGTCTAAAAGCGTTTTCAACGACAAATTAGCTACAAAATAAAGCCCTTAGAGTACTTTTCTATATCAGTTTTATTTTAAGATACACTATGTGTAGCGCCAGTCTGACAGTTTTCCAATCCGCGATAAAATGGGTATATGCACCATATTTAAGTGACAAATTAGCTAAAAAATAAAGTCCTTAGAGCATTATTCTATAATACGTCTTTTCTATTCCGATATACGCTAAGCATATTGACACCTTATCGGCTCTCAAGTCTTTTTTTGCTGAACAACTGGAGAGTAGACTAGGAAATGGGTAAAAGTACCCTGTTTCGGCGACAAATTGTAGCCACAGTATTTTTCTTTGCCAATTCTATTCCGAGATACGCTATGTGTAATGCCTGCTTCACGGTTTTTCAATAGTTATTGATTAATGAGCTCGAGTCTGTGATTTTGCGAAAAATTACTTAAAATACTATCTTTCAGTGACAAATTATAGATACGAAATAAAGTCCCTAGAGTATTATTCTAAAATGAGGCATTTCTTTTCGCTAGATAACTGCAGAATACACTAACCCTATTGCAAATGAAAAATTACAGTCCTCATAGTTGAGCTACAGGATAGGGTATGTTTTTAGCCATCGCAAACAAATCGCCAGTTCCTACAACAACCTAGAAACATACCACCTGCCACAAAAGGGCTAGTTCCGCCTACTTGATGCATAATGCGTTACCAATTTTGCTTGCGAAACATGCACATTACCATATAAGACCAAAAATATATTTTTATTATCCACCTATAAGTACACCTACCCATCTTGTTCAACTACAGACGGCTATTAAATGAATAGGTACATTGTTAAGCATCATTATAGAAAAAATAACTTTCGCAATTCGTTAAGGCCTACGACAGGTTGCGCTTACTCTTCATTGTAATTGTTGCTACAACTGCGTATACTTACGTATTTATTACATGCATGAATAAATCTTTCTGTAAAGGTGTACCAATGCAAATATATTTAACGCAACAACAGGTCATTCATATGTATTACTAAACGACGAGTTGGTCTACTATAATATATTCCGAATCGGTATTATAAAAAGGCAGAATTGGGTGTGAAAAAGTCCAGTTATGCCACTGGCACTCGACGTCCTTGTACGCGAAAATCGTTTTTCGTTTTAAATATTTGGAAAGTGCACACTTGCGTCCTTGCATACCAATTATTTAGTAAATATAATTATTTATGCATAAGATTCCAGTTGTGTTTTCTAGAACACCCTCAGGATATAGAGAACATTGTTTTGTTTTATGTATCAATGAGTGCTAGATATTTAAAAACCAACATTTTCCGTTCACAATTTCCCTACATATTTTCCACCTATGCTATAATAATATTTAGTAAAGATTGAAAACCACAACACAAATTGTTGATAACGTAACTATCAAATTCATTGCTATCAGTTATCAAGTAATTTTCAAAGGTATAAGTTGGCAATATTTAATACTAAGCAGTCAAATGTTTTCAGTATCAGCGCCCCCTATTTCTTATACTCAGGTTAATATGTTGATAAAATTTGATGAATAAATAAAAGGTACTTACAATTCATTAAAAAGCGAGACTTAACTTCGTGATCATCAATTTAGTTTTTATCGACCCTCTCATAACATATAGATGTTGAGTTCCAAACGCATTGTTTCATCCCTAACCGTTACTAATTACATTGGCTAATGATGGCTCATTATTTTTTTTATTGTGGTCAGTTTTTTAATAAAAAGAGGCCTTTTGCATTCACATCGTGGCTAACCACATCAAGTGCTGAGTTTGGCCAAATTGACAAACACTTTTCGGTCTAAGATTTTATACAAAATTTAAAATTTATTCTACTTTATTAAGTGAATGAATATGGCATAGCAACGCGTTTTTCCGCTTTGTATACTTCGTTTAATTTCTGTAGCGATGTGACCTTCAGTTTGACCGGCGCAAAGTAGAAAAGAACAGCACTAGGCCAGAAAAGAATGGAGACAACTCTCGGCCAAACTCTTAACCGGTGAGGAGCGTATAATCCGTACAGTACTGCACGGAAAAATTGACCATTTTATC